ATAAAAAGCCTCGCCAGTTTCAAGAGAGGGAAAGACAACGTCCTACGCTAAAGGAGTTAGAGAAGAAGGAATACCCCTTCCCCAATTCCGATGTCCCTAGCATCTTGGAATGTTTACTCAAAAGTAAAGTTATAGAACTCCCTGAATGCAAACGCCCTCAGGAGATGGGACGTGTCAACGATCCAAAATACTGCAAATATCATCGTACTGTTAGTCATCCAATTGAGAAGTGTTTTATCTTCAAGGAGGTGGTGATGAACCTAGCAAAACAAGGAAAAATCTTGTTGGACACGGATGAAGTTGTAACTTTAAATCATACTACTGCTGCTGTGACAACCTCTGTCGTGGGGAGTGCTCATTCTTAACCTTCAACTTCTGAGATGTATTGCACAACCATCCAGTTTGGCTCATTGGAACCAATCCCCATCTCTCTTGGCAAAGGGAGTGCACTTGACGTTTCAACCTTTGGAAGGGCCTTTCCTCATAATGATGAAGAAGGATGGACTTTGGTGACAAGAAAGAAACCGCGGAAGCAACGAGCTGACATTTTTCAGACTAGTTATTCTGACGGGGGGCAAAGGAAGAAGAAACTTCAATATCGCCATAAGCAGTCTGGCCATAACAAAAAATAGGTCAAGAAGACACATTCAACCAAACACGCCTCTATAAGCCAAAGGATCCAGAAGCCTATTACTTTGCAAGAGTTCTTTCTAGAAAGATATCTAGATGACAAAGCTGTGATAGCTTACATGGTTTCAATTAAAACGGGCCCTGATGGTGAGAATAACAAGGATCAAGATGAAGCTCAGACTGTAGAGAATCATGTAAAGGATGCTGCCATCATTGAAAAGTCCGATGATGATGAAGTAGTTGGAGGTACGCTGGATTCATGTTATGCACCAATTATTTTCACTGACGAAGATCTTCAGTTGGGTTCGAAGCCGCACAATTCTCCTCTTTTCGTTTCTGGTTACATAAAGGAACAAATAGTTACTCGAATTCTTGTTGATGGTGGATTAGCGGTGAATCTCATGCCAAAATTTACAATGAAAAATCTCGGCATCACAGTCGACGAGTTATCTCGTAGCTGTCTTATTATTTAAGGTTTTAACCAAGGAAGACAGAGAGTTATTGGCATGATTCGAGCAAAACTAATTGTTGGCGAGCTCCAAGCTGAAACTTTATTGCATGTTATTGATGCAAAAATGTCCTACAATTTGTTATTAGGAAGGCCTTGGATACATAGTAATGGTGTCATTCCATCGACTCTTCATCAGTGCTTCAAATTCTACAAGAATGGAGTACAAATAGTTGTAGTGGACCATAAACCATTTACAGAAGCATAATCTCATTTTGCTGATGCCAAGTTCTATATCGATCATGATACACCTTCGGAAGTGCCGATCCCATGCCATCCATCTACACAAGAGGTTCAATCTACGAAAACAAAAAAAGCGTTAAGTGATCCATTAGATGTTTCAGTGACAGACATTGTAAAGGTAGCTAAAACAAGAGGGGTCTCGATAAAAGCACATCAGACAAAACCTATTTTAAAGTATGTTCCAAAATCTCAACGACAAAAAGGGCAGTCACCTGTCATTGAGATACTTGAAACCAAGGAATTTAAATTAAAAATGTCCCAAACCAAAGAGAAAGAAGATATACAAAAGCTGAAAGGAGAGTTAACTCTTCCTCTCACCATGATTCAAAAGTCTTCGCCTTCCAAGCCTCCGTTAAAAGGGTTCATATGGCCTTCTCAATCTCTGGTCAATCATGGATCACTTTCAAAACAAAGGACTGATGAAGGATTAGATCTTAAAGCATACCAACTCATGGCTAAGTCGGGGTATGATTTTACAAATCCTGCAAACCTTGGGAAACTGAATTCAGAGGTCACCAGTGAGAAAATGCATGGCCTCAATGAGACACAAAAGAAGTTGAAAGATCAAGGGCATAAAATCATTCCACCCAAGTCTGGTATCGGTTTCGTACCTTCTGAGCCACTTCGAATTCACATCACAAAAAAGGACAAGAAGTCAAACACTTTTTACATTGGGTTTGAAGAAGTTACAGATGAACAAGATCAATAGACTATAAATCAAAAATCGGTCTTCGACCGTATTGGAGCTCCATGTGATCGAATATCTGTATTCAACAGGTTGTCAAGCCAAGAATAAAATGTTTCAAGTTCTCATGTCAGTAGTTTGCCTCATGCCTCTGTTTTTAACATAATGAGCTTTCATGACCAAGGAAGAAAATCTCCACAACCTCAACCTCGAAAGTCCGTATTTTCTCGAATTGGTACTATTAATGATGCACCGCTAAAAAGTAGCAAGAGTGGGAAGTCAGAGGAAACAAGCATTGACGTGGTGAATAATAGTGAAGTTCAGAGCCTAGTACCCTTGCGAATGAAACGTAAGACAGAGATAGATGTCACTAATGATGTTACATTAAAAGCTAGAAGGTGAACCAATGTTTTTACTAATCAAGCAAAAGAAGTGGAAGACATTGGCGAATCATCTTGTGTTACTTCATACAACATCACTATTGAAGAGGAACATGAAGCTGAACAACCAGATGACATCGAGAAAGCTCCAGTAACACTAGAAGACGGGGGGCAGGCTACCGTTGATCAACTCAAAGAAATCAACTTAGGAATTGATGATCAACCCAGACCAGTTTTCATTAGTGCATTCCTAAGCCCCTTAGAAGAAAATGATTACTTTCAATTGTTATCTGAGTATAAGGATGTCTTCGCTTGGACATACAAAGAGATGCCCGGTCTTGATCCTAAAATTGCAGTGCACAATCTTACTGTCAAACATGGGACACGTCTGATTAAGCAGTCTCAACATTTCTTCCGTCCAGAGCTAGTTCCGAGGATAGAGGAAGAACTTAACAAATTGATTGAAGTAGAGTTCATTCGTAAGGTCAAATATCCAACATGGATTTCGAGCATTGTTCCATTGAAGAAGAAAAATGGACAGATTCGAATTTGTGTGGATTTTCGTGATTTAAATGAGGCATGCCCAAAAGATGATTTTCCTCTTCCCATCCCCGAACTCACTATAGATGCAACCACAGAGCATGAAGCTCTCTCGTTCATGGATTATTACTCCGGGTACAATTAGATAAAAATGACTCTGAAAGTTGAGGAACTAACTACCTTTCGCACTCCTAAAGGCATGTATTGCAACAAAGTTATGCCCTTCGGACTCAAAAATGCTGGAGCAATATACCAGCGCGCCATGCGAAGGATCTTCGATGACATACTCCACAAGATTGTTGAATGTTATGTTGATGACTTGGTGGTTAAGACGAAAGAACGAAGGAACCATTTATAGGATCTACGTATAGTTTTTAATCGCCTCGGAAAATTTCAACTCAAGATAAATCCTCTTAAATGTGCATTTGGTGTGACTTCAGGGAAATTCCTGGGATACGTTGTACATCATCGTGGTATTGAGATTGATCCTAATAAAGTGGAGGCCATTCAAAAGATGCCGCTACCAAAGAATTTACACAAGCTTCGAAGTTTACAAGGTCAACTTGTGTTCATTCGTAGGTTCATCTCAAATTCAGCTGGCCGTTGTCAGCCTTTTAACCGACTTATGAAGAAAGACGCCCCATTCATCTGGGACCAATCTTGCCAAAATGCTTTTGATAGCATCAAAAAGTACCTTCTCAATTATCCAGTATTGGGAGCACCTGTACCTGGAAAGCCGCTCATACTTTACATTGCTGCGCAAGAAGAATCGTTGGGTGCCTTCCTTGCTCAGAATAATGAAGAACATAAAGAAAAGGCATTGTATTACTTAAGTCACAAACTTACCCCAGCGGAGCGAAATTATCCTCCAATTGAAAAAACATGCCTCGCACTTGTCTTCGCCTCTAAGAAATTGAGGCATTATTTCTTGGCTCATACGATACATCTTATTGCAAGGGCTGATCCTCTTAAATTTGTCATGTCTAAACTGGTCATTTCCGGACGCTTGGTGAGGTGGTCAATTTTGTTCAACGAATTTGAAATTATTTATGTGCCACGAAAAGTAGAAACAGGACAAGTCCTGGCAGATTTCTTGGCTGACCATCCTATTCCAGCCGATTGGGAAATTTATGAAGATTTTCCTGATGAAGAAGTCTTCGATGGGGCAGCACGAGCAGACGAGGCCGGAGCAAGAGTAGTGTTTGTCTCTCCAAAAAGACATGTTATTCCGTACTCTTTTGCACTCGCTGAAAACTGCTCAAATAATGTGGTTGAATATCAAGCCTTGATTATCGGCTTTCAAATGGAAAATGAGATGAAGATCATAGATCTTGAAATATATGGAGACTCTAAGTTGGTGATTAATCAACTTCTTTAAGAATATGAGGCTAAGAAAAATGATCCAGTGCTGTACCATTGTTATGCCTCTCATTTGTTGGACCGATTTGATAGCGTCATGCTAGAACACATTCCGAGGAAAGAAAATCGGATAGCTGATGCTTTGGTAAATTTAGCTATAACATTGGCGGTAACTGTTGAGGACTTGGTTGATGTTCCTGTATGTCAACGATGGGTCTTGCCATAAGTCTTGGAAGATAAATTTGAAGAAAGTAATTTGGTTTCTTATTGGACACAAGAGGAAGAAGACTGGAGACTCCCTATCATTGATTATCTGGAACATGGAAAGCTTCCTGAAGATCAATGCCACAAGACTGAAATACGAAGACGAGCACCTCGATTCATCTATTATAATGATACGTTGTATAGGCGTTCATATGAGGGCCTTTTCCTTCGCTACCTCGCAAATGATGAAGCCACCCACACAATGAAGGAAGCACATTCTGGGATTTGTGGAGCCCATCAGTCTAGACCAAAACTTCACTTTCGTGTCAAAAGAATGGGTTATTATTGGCCCACCATGGTCAAGGACTGCATGGAGTATGCGAAAAGGTGTCAAGCCTGTTAATTCTATGCTAACTTCATACACCAACCACCGAAACCATTGCATCCTACTATGACGTCATGGCCATTTGATGCATGGGGATTAGATGTAGTTGGTCCTTTAGACAAGTCTTCAAAGGGCTACTTGTATATCTTGGCTGCCACTTTTTCCAAATGGGCAGAAGCTACACCTTATAAACATGTGAAAAAGGAAACAGTGGTTGATTTCATCAAATCGAACATTATCTATCGATATGGTGTCCCTCAATACATTATCACTAATAATGGGACGAATTTCAAAAATAGTTGGGTAACTGACCTTTATGAGAAGTTTGGTTTCAAACAACGTAAGTCCTCCATGTACAATGCCCCTGCCAATGGTCTCGCGGAAGCATTCGATAAAACTCTTTGTGAGTTATTGAAGAACGTCGTCAACTAGACAAAGAGAGATTGACATGAGCGAATGGAAGAAGCATTGTGGGCATACCGCACTACGCACCATACACCAACTCAAGCAAATCCGTATTCTCTGGTCTATGGCGTAGAAGCAGTTCTTCCATTGAACAACGAATCCCTTCGTTAAGGATTGCCATACAAGAAGGTCTTACAAGTGAAGAAAATGCCATCTTACGTCTTCAAGAACTAGAAGCATTGGATGAGAAGAGATTAGAAACCCAAAAACAGCTAAAGTGTTATCAAGCTCGACGTTCTAAAGCCTTCAATAAGAAAGTTCAACCTCGGTCATTTCAAGTTCGAGACTTAGTATTAGCTATTCGTAGACCAATTGTCATGAATCGCAAGGGAAATAAATTTGTATCCAAATGGGACGGACCATATGTTGTTCGTGAAGTTTATACTAACGGCGCATATCTCATTATTGATAAAGACGGAGTAAGAGTGGGGCCCATTAATGGCAAGTTCCTGAAGTGCTATTACCCATGAAGGCAATGTTCCTGATCGTACGAGCTTAAACTGCACTATGCTCCTGCTCCGCATGAGCTAAAACTGTGTAGGGCCTAAAAAAAAATAAAAAAAAATTCATGTCTCTTTTGAACTACGTGATGACTTAATCCCTCGTTTGAGGGTACGTAGGTAGCTTATAATTTCATTCTAAGTTCAGTATGATGAAAAAAAAAAAAAAAAAAAAAAAAAAAACCCTCACTCCTTAACACAAGTTTAAACTATCTCCCAAAAAAAAAAAAAAAAAAATCAAGAACTCTTTGATACGAGTATAAACTGTCTAAAAGAAGAAAAAATTTGAACTACGTGATGACTTGATTCCTGTTCAGGGTACATAGGCATCTTGGAGGCATGTTCCAAGTTCAGTCCACTATAAAAATAAAAAAAAAATAAAAAAAACTCCTCAAAGTTGCAAAATGGCAAAGTCACTCATCATGCGATATCAAAAAGTGCTTATCATACCTGTCAACTTGGCACGCCACCAAAGTATAGCTACAAAGGAAAATTTGATCCATCGCCAAAGTGTAGCTGCAAACAATAATTTTGGTTCGTTGCTAGAATTGTAGCTACAAAGGAAATTTGATCCGTCAACAAAGTGTAGTTTCAAAGATTTTCGGTTCAACGTCAAGGTGTCGCTATAAAAAATGACTTGCTGCCAAGGTGTCGCCGAAGAATCCAGTTCATCATCAAGGTGTGGCTAGAAGAAATAAATAAATTTGATTTGCCGCCAAGGTGTCACCGAAGAATCCAGTTCATCATCAAGGTATGGCTGGAAGAAATAAATAAATTCGATTTGCCTCCAAGGTGTCATCGAAGAATCCGGTTTTTCATCAAGGTGTCGCTGGAAGAAATAAATAAATTCGATTTGCCGCCAAGGTGTCGCTAAAGAATCCGGTTCATCACCATGGTGTTGTTGCAACAAATTTTTGACTCACCGTTCAGGTATCGTTGAAGGAAATAAATAATAATTCTGCTCACCGCCGAGGTATTGCTGAAGGAGAAATTTAGTTTTCCGCTGAGGTGTTGTTGAAGAAAAAATTAGGCCCAAAACCAAAGTGTAGCTGCAAATAATAAAACCATGAAGAATATTAGTGGCTGGGCACCAACATTCGAGGAATGCTTCATCTTCATGGCGATCATATGAAAATAGGGAGGCAAATAGATCACCATATAGTTGTTGTTTTGATAAAAAAATTTCTTTGATAAGGGAGACCGCCTAGCATATATAAATCTCAAAGAAAAATTTCATGCGCCGATAGAACCATGAAGAGTATTAGTGGCTGGGCCCCAACATTCAAGGAATGCTTCATCTTCATGGCGATCATATGAAAATAGGGAGGCGAATAGATCACCATATCATTGTTGTTTTGATAGAAATTTTTCCTTGATAAGGAAGACCGCCTAGCATATATAAAGCTCGAAGGGAAATGGATAGCTCGCCAATAGAACAATGAAGAGTATTAGTGGCTGGCCCCAACATTTAAGGCATACTTCATCTTCATGACGATTATAGGAAAATAGAGAGGCGAATAGAGCACCATATAGTTGCTGTTTTGATATAAAGTCATGGAAACACGCTAAGACATCTTCTAACCACTCCCAATATAGTTCGATGTATGGCAATTAAGTAGAAAGTTTATAGGGAATACTCCATGATATTTCCCTCGCCTGAACAATGACACCCAATAGTGAAAACTGGTTTTCTTCAACAACTCTCTCATAAAGTGAAGAATTAAGTATCAAGGCTTCAGAGATAATACATTGTTCATTAATCTGATCAAGACAAAAGTTGGTTAGTTCGTATGTGGTCGTACATGTCCAATGAGATGAATAATATTCATTGTCAGGATTAGGTATTTGAATATATCTTCAATTGACAAAATTCTCATTGATGGAAATAGGAAAGGTCCTTTCGAATCCTGAAAAAAATAAAAATAAATAAATAAATTTTGTTTGTTTCCTTCCAGCAAGTGTGAAAAAAAAAAAAAAAAAAAAAAAAAATTGTTTTCTTTTCCAGCAAGCGTGGAAAGGGGGGGAAAAAAAAAAGTTGTCTCTTACAACAAGTGTTAAAAAATAATAATAAAAAATAAATAAATAATTTTTGTTTGTTGTCGCTTCAGCAAGCGTGGAGAGAGAGAAGAAAAAAAAAAAGAAAAAAGAAAAAAAAAATGTTTTCTCTAAGAAGCATGGAGGAGGAGGGAAAAAATAAAAATAAAAAATAAAAAATAAAAAAAAAATCATTCCTCCAGGAAGCGTGGAGAGAGAGAAAAAAATATATAAAAAAATAAAAAAATTGTTCCAGGACGCGTGGAGGAGGAAAAAAAAAAAAAAAAGAAAAGAAAAAAAAAAGAAAAAGAAAAGAAAGAACAATCATACTTATGTGTTCAAACAGATGCCACAATCCGACACAATCTTTAGAGGCTACAATCTTACAAATCCTCCAGAGCTGATTGAAATTGATGTCAAACCTTATGACTTGGGTGATATATATAGCTAAGGGATTTGTATAAATTGGAAAGTAAAATTCCAATCCAAAGTGGGATTAGAAAAGCAAAATAAAAAATAATAATAAAAAATAAAAAATAAAAAATAAAATAGAAGAAGGAAAGTTGGATACTTCGAGTCCCACTTGAAAGAGGAGACAAGTCTTGTTAAGCTTAGGACTCGAAGTGGGGGCAATTTGTAGACACTTAAATTTTAGTGAACTTTAATTTGGACAAATGGACCCATTAAATATGGGCCTAATGTTTAATTAAGTTATTTAATTGGCCCAAGTTTGGCCCACTTAAATTATTTAATTAAGTCCAGTCCAGATGGTTAAATAAAAAGAATAATTATTCCTAATAAAATATATTTGGAATTATTATTTTTAAGGATAATTATCATAATATATCCGGCCTGGCCCAGTTATGATATTTTCCTTATCAGAGAAGACACATGTCATCATCCTATGGATCCAAGAAGCCTATAAATAGAGGCCTGGAGGAAAGGAGAAGGGGTACACAAAGTCAGAATTCAGAAATCTAGAATTCCAGAGAGAAATACAGAAACTCTCATCCCCAACATCCAAACCCAAAAGCGAAGAACACCAAGCACCTCAAATCGTGTCGTTCTTCATCAAATTCCACGGTGATCAACAACAAGCACAGCCAAAGATGTGCCGTTCTTTATCAAATTTCATGGTGATTCAAGATAAAACCTGTGCAGCCTTTGGATCCAACCAACCAACAAAAAAAGGAGATTTAATCAGAGGACTAATTTTTTCTTTTGTAAAGAATATTACATAGAATTGTACCTCAATTTCTCAAATTAATAAAATTATATTATTTGCTCCATATTTTGTTTCTATTGCAGACTTACAAAATTTGTGTGTACATGTACAAAATTAAATCAAGTAAATAGTTAGATATATTTATGAGGGGTCATCCCACGTGTGTGTGTGTGTGTGTGTGTGTGTGTGTGTGTGTGTGTGTGTGTGTGTTCATTTTGTGTTGATTAATTTGATTTTGAGAAACATTACATGAATTCTTAGCGCACAATATATTAATGTGTCAAGAAAAAAGAAATTCGGTGAAAAAAGTATTTTGAACTTGAATGTTTTAGTTTCGTGAATTATAATTGATTATATATTACCAGTGATTTCACGCAATTAGTGTTATTAATTAATTATATATTAATATTACAAGATTATTTAAACATTAAAAAAACTAGAATTAAAATATATAACAATTAAAATGTCCTAAATTATCAATAACCACTGTATAGCACTTGTTAGGTTGGAATTCAGTGCTGTATCATATACAATTTCACAAAATTCCTTCCTAGTCACTTTCATGAGTAATTTAATGTTAGAATGGGACCAATTATTTATTTTTCTTCTTTAGACGAAACCAATTTGGGCCCATGAAATAGACATATTCCAATGACAACTTGCTTGATTGGGAGATCCCAACTGACTCATCTATCATCTATTTCTCATTTGGAAAATGACTATAATTGTCAACTCACCTTTTAACTTTACAGTATTACTGACTTCATGATCACTACGCAGAGGAAAATGCCAGTTCCAAATTCTTTGTCTTTATGGCAGCCCGTGAGCAGATTAGATTGGATCAGATCCATCAAAATCATATTCGATCAGAATTCGATTCATTAATCGGTGTACCCTATATTGCTTGTATATATAATTCACATTAATAAAAATTAATTTAGAAAGCCGACTAAACTAATCAGAATTCGATCTACTAACCGGTGTAACTTACATTGCAGGCATATATAATCTCTCTTATGTGAAAATTTATCTAGGAAAGTAAATTGATAGGAGGATGTTCAGTACAAATCCTTACCCTTCAACCGATCTTATTTTTCTTATAATTAAATCCTTGAAAACGTAAGGATTAGAACATAAAATATGATTAATTCTATTTTTTGAATCACAGTTTTTGCTTCTCAAATTAAAAAAATAAATTTTTTTGATGGTATTAGTTTTGATTTGTGCTTATTAGTATTTGATTACATACATGGCTTTTTATTCAGAATTTAAAATTTTGCTATATATGTGTGTTGTCTAATGGCGGGTGTTTGCATGTTGTTCCATTGCAACTTGAATTTACGGATTTGGAATGAGCAACAATCTCTCTATATCTCTAAGTAAGAATGGGTACATCTAATCCTCTTTGTATTACATAGTGACAAGAACATCAAGAAATGAACTGTCCTTTTACATTTATGTGCACGTTTTGCATGAAAATTAGAGGTGAAGTTTGATTATGACCCAACCTTTAATCAGAAAAGAACAGGCTGGTTCTGATTGAGTTGACTGCAATATTCGTTAGGGTGGTTGGACTACTCATGAAAATTGAGGAAATTCCATTTTGCAACACAATATGTTTTGACATTTGGAACCATTAACACTTACAGCTTGTGTTTCACTGGCTAATCTTTGACACTTTTATCTGATTGAACAACTCACAATGACTGCAATTGAACGTAAAATTTTATATAATAGGGTAAAGTGCTGATGGTGGTGGAGTTAGGGGCCAACAAAACTTTTGCTGGTGGAGCAAGTGTGTCGGCATGGTGGTTTTGCTAACAAATTTAAGCTTGATGATCATGATTATATAAATATATATATATATGTGTAACAAATTTTTATAACATTGAAATTAATCGTTTGGCGTTGTTAGAATGTTATATTAAAAACACTTGTACCTATCGAAATTAAGGGCCCGTATGTCATTAATGCTGTTAAAATGAAAAAGTGATCAAATTTTCTTAGAAAAAAATTTAACTGACATGTAGAACCTCTACTCATACACAGTTTTAAAAGTTAAAAATTAATTTTAGGTTCATTCAAAAGCTCTAATGTAGCTAAAATTGATAACCGTAAAAGGTGTTTTTAGTGATTACCAGACACATTTAAAAACTAAATTTTAAAATAAAAGTTCTTTTAAGTGGTTCAATAGTAATCCCAAACGCGTATGCTCTAAATCTCAACTTTCTCCTAGATTTTGGTAACAAAAACAAATTGTAGATTTAGCACTCTTTGGGGCATTACCCAATGGCTGATTTAATTGATAGAGCGCTCAACTCTCCAAACAGATATGTCCGTATTCGAGTCCCCCTATCCTAATTTGCTAGAAAATAAAAAATATTTAGCACTCTTTGCACATTGAATATATACTATGTGGAAGTGAAAAAAAAAAAAAGAAAAAAAGAAAAAAAAAGAAGGGATATTATCCTTATCATTATCATTGTCATCGTTATTATTACTAATACTACAATGACTGCAACTGTGAAGAAGAAATAGCTATATTTCAATATTGTTCCAAGGACTTTAATTTGTCCATACTTTAAATTCATAATTTTATTGATGGGTTGCATTCATGGGTCCAAGACCAACTACAACACTCAATCAATTACGCACTCAATCAATTACGTGTTGCATGGTTTTTCATCAATCACCAATAATAAATAGTCTTCGTATAGTATGGTGAGAAATTAAAATGCCAACCGTAGTTATGTCCCACTTCATTTCAAATAACAGTTGAGCATATTAATTAGAGAGAATTGATGTTAGGTGTGGTTGGTTGCCTACAAGTCTTGAATTTTCCTATTCACTTTCTCATCTTCTGATCTTATCACCTTGCTAGCTAGTACAAATTTGGATTGTTGCAATTTAAAAGATGACCCATAACTGTCAAGGTCGTTGAAATCAGATTGGTTTTAATTGCATATATACAGAACAACTGTCACTACAAGAAAAAAAGGCTTCTACGAGGGGCCAAAAACGCCGTGGAAATCTATTCACAGCGCATTCTAGGCACTCGTGTATGAGGGTTCCGTAAATACTCAATTTTTTTTACGAGAAAAAATCTGCCTCGTAGAAAAACAATAAAGTCGCCGTAGAAAATAATTTCGTTTATATATATTAAATTTTATTTAATTAACCTACGAGGTGCCGAGGCATGCCGTAGAAAAGGTTTCTACGGCGAATTGTAACTACCCGTAGAAAACTCACGAGACACCATCGCCTGCCGTAGAAAATTTTTTTACGGCGAAGTATAACTACCCATAAATAATCTCACGAGGTACCCACGGCTGCCGTAGAAAAGTTTTCTACGGCAAGTTGTAACTACCTGTAAATAATCTCACGAGGTACAAAACCATGCCATAGAAAAATTTTCTAAGGCGAATTTTAACTACCCGTAAATAATATCACGAGGCATTAAATCATGCCGCAGAAAACTTTTCTACGGCAAATTTTAGGTACCCGTAAATAATATAAACCATTCTCCCGACTTGCCGTACATGCTGTAGAAAAGTTATTTAAGGAAGATTTTCACTTATTTACGATATTTCAAGCTCCCCGTAAATAATATATATATATATATATATATATATATATATATATATATATATATTATAAATGATGCACCCTTAATTAATTCCTATTAATCATCCACTACCTATAATTCACATCACTTTCAGTTATAATTCATTTCAATTCAAAAAAACATACATATCCCATTAAATATATCAAAAGAGTTAAAACATTTTTACAATTCATCATTTATCAATGTTCCAAAATAGAAAATACATCAATTTGTCAAGAAAATCATCAATTTCTTAACACTTCTGTTGAAAAATTGATAAACCTTCTAGCACTTGAGTTTCAGTCTGCACTTGTCAAAAAACCAGCTCATTGTACAAAATCCAAGGAAGTAGCTGCAAAATCCAAGGAAGTAGCTGTAAAATCCAAGAAAGTAACTATATCACACAAGTCTTAAATTCAGAATGCTAATAAAAAAGGAAATAACAAGATTATCATTTTATGAATCAAACACAAACATTTTGCTAAGAATTTTTTCCTTAGATCTGCTTTTATATTTGAAGCAGATAATTTTTCTTAATTGAATACTAGATTTTGAAAGGATGTATGAGAACAGACAATATCATAATCTCTTTATATTCATGAACACTACAGTATCATAATATGTAGTCTCTTTATCTCATGATTATGAGCAAATCTGAAACATTCTGAAACAAATCGGAAACATTGTAAGTTTTTGGTACAACGATTATGAGCAAATCTGAAACTTTAAATACAAGTCAAGTCTTATATATATATATATATATATATATATATATATATATATATATATATTATCTCAGTTTGTTGGTAGTTTAATTTATATATGTTTTTTTTTTTAAAACTGAAATTCAGTGTTTTAACATTGAAGATGCTGTTGTAACCTTGCATTGGAATATACCTTTGCTTGTTAATTGGTTATTAATACCTAAGCAAGTGTATTTAGCCTATTGAAGACTAAGGGAGTTAACTTCTTCGGGACGTTAAAGGGAACTCGAATAAGTTTAATTCAAAACTCTCAATTTCTTTCAAAGATTCAATCTTTTAGAATTAAAAAGGGCTAGTGATATAACAAGTACCTTGATTGAGGTTTTTTTAATCAAAGATTCAATCTTTTCTCATTAAAACACTCTACGGTACGTCAAAGGGAACTCGAATATGTTTAACTCAGAACTCTCATTTTCTTTCAAAAATTCAATCTTTTTACATTAAAAAGGTCTAGTGACATAGTAGGTACATTGATTGGGTAAACCCCTCTTTCAATTTTGGTTGTTGTAGTTATTCTTCAGAAGGCTTTGTTGCTCCAAAACCTCTCCTCTTATTTTATTTTTTATTCTATACTATATTCATATATATATATATATATATATATATATATATATATATATATATATATACACACACACACACACTATTTGCTTAGAGAAAGAAGGATGATGACTCGTATCATTTTTATGGCATATATGCAGCGGCTAGTTCTTAGCCACCAAACCAACCCACCAACATCTTGACAAGTTGGAGTTTGGTTTAGGAAAGTGGACCTTCTATGGACACATCACACATGACTTGCATCTAAGCTAATGAGGTTGTTATGACAATTACCAGCCCCATCACCCTAACCCAGTTTGAGACTGGGGATATGTGTAATTATAATGGATTGGTTAGAGATATTCTCCAACCAGTGAATATTTTATCAACTTCTATATAAAATACACACTATCCACAATGACCTGTATCATTTTTATGGCATATATGCAGTGGCTAGTTCTTAGCCACCAAACCAACCCACCAACATCTTGACAAGTTGAAGTTTGGTTTAGGAAAGTGGACCTTCTATGGACACATCACACATGACTTGCATCTAAGCTAATGAGGTTGTTATAACAATTGCTAGCCCTATGACCCTAACCCAGTTGGAGATTGGGGATATGTGTAATTATACTGGATTGGTTAGAGATCTTCTCCAACCAGTGAATATTTTATCAACTTCTATATAAAATACACACTATCCACAATTAGTCTCAACAATGCAAGCAAAATTTTAAACCACCCTCCACACTTACTTACCTTTTTTTCCCTTCTTTATTCTTCTTTTATTTATTTATTTCTCCAATTTCTCTCTTTCAAGTATCAAACAAAAGAACACAAATTATTTATCTTCCTTTCTTCTTTTGGCTTCTATCTTATCTCTGTAAATTCTGTAAAATAGAACACAAAGCTAAAAAAAGGGCATAACGGACCCAACTTTGAGGAAGGAATCTGTAATTTCTAAAACGTTAAAGGTATTGCCTGTAATTTGGCCTAACCTTGAGGGAAAAAACAGATCTAAGCTTTCTCTCTATTAGACCCCAATTCATTCCTCTTTTGTCGGTTTCTTTATGGCGGTTTTAGACGCTTTTTATGTCATTTACTTGGGACTCGCCCTACCTGACACAATAATGAGCATTTGTAATAACCCTTACCCTATCCAAATACAAGGGTATATAATGAAACGTTTGTGCATGTGGAGGAAGGGAAGTGGTATGGTGTAATGGTCAGATTCATGCCGTTAATCTCTCTCTCTCTCTCCCTCCCTTTTAGGGGGTTTGAAGGGAGTGCCGGATGTTCAAATTCTTGTTAACGGTATTCCCTGCTTAGATGCAGACTATAGACTAGGACTGATTTAGAATTAAGAATAACTGTAAAATTGTTGAATTTGCATCGTTAATTTATCTCTTTCCCTCATGTGTAAATCAATCTAATTGCTTTCCTAGAGAGATCCTGAATTCTCAAGATTGCTGCATTTCTGGTATCAGCAATCATGTATATATTGTTACTTTAGAACTCTTAGCATGCATTTTATCTTGCATGGGCAATAAATAATACTATCATTGTTCTAAGCAGAAAAATGATTAACTTGGCTTCGAAAGGGGTATTGACATTTATATTCATGAACACTACAATATCATAATATGTAGTCTCTTTATCTCATAATTATGAGCAAATCTGAAATTCATGAACACTACATCTCAGTTTGTTGGTAGTTTAATTTATATATGTTTTCTTTTTAAAACTGAAATTCAGTGTTTTAACACAAGATGGTGTTGTAACCTTGCATTGGAATATACCTTGCTTGTTAATTGGTTATTAATACCTAAGCAAGTGTATCTAGCCTATTAAAGACTAGGGGAGTGGACTGTGAGGTGTTCCTAAGCTTAAATCACAAAGTTGCCCTTGAAAGCTTAAAAGCTAGGTTTTGGTGGGATTAAGCCTGCTTGTGTGTGCTTATTGCTGTAACTTGCTATGTAAAGTGTTCTAAACAATCAAGCAAGTATAATTTGATGATACAAGGCTGTGGGAGTTAATTGAAGACCTGAACAGAAGCTGCATTGTGAAAAGACTTGTCTAACCTCAATTTTGGGGTTTAAGCCTTTGTGAAGAGAAACTATTTTATCTTGCTCCTATCATTGTGCTATTCTTTTGAGTAAGTGTTTTTGAAGATACCTAGGTTGGGGGAAACAAGTAAAGGTCTGTTTTAAAGCTACATTATGAAGTTACTGGTTTAACATTGGGTACACTTCAACATATAAAAACCAATGGTTAGTGATCTTTTAATATTTTCATCACAAGTACATCTTATTTTCATCAAATGTCAATATATAATTTTTTTTATAATTTTTTTTCTAAATTAAATGATAATGAATATCTTCACATATAATAATAAATCAAATGTTTCATGACTTAGTTTTAACTCTTTTGATATATGCATATTGCTGTCATTCTATATAGAAAAGGAAAGGTGCATTTGTGTTTGTTTTGTGGGGGCCCAAAGTTTTGAAGAAATCTCCTTCCCATCAATAATTTCTATACTTCGTGATTTCTTCATTCAACACACGACTCTTTTGACTCTTAAAAGTGATGACTCACAACTTACTATTCTCATACTATTCTCAGTGGTGGTTGTTTGTTGGCGGCTTTGTGTTTGCATTTGGCTTTGTCAAATTCGGATGGAGTGGAAAGATGGTATAAATGAAGTTCTTATCATATTTTTAAATCATTAATTAATGAAATTGAACAGTCAAAGTGGTCATAGTGATGCAAAACATATCTTATATCATACATTTTGACTCCTCATAATAGAATTTTACTTCTACTCTTGTGCATATTTTTGAAAGAATTATGAAATAGAGCAAACTAAATAGATTGAATATAAAAACTCCATATAATGTTACAATTCTTTTTTTTTAAAAGCACTTTATATTATTTTTTTTAATTCACAAAATTATTTAATAAAAATATCAATCATGCACACGTAATCGATCCAAGAAAAATCTCATGACATCAACAACTTCTCCTCCACAACAATCAATCAAAACCTCCACATACGATGATCCCATACTCCCATGCTTTCAACATTTTAAAACAAGAAATAAAATTTAATAGCCTCCACATGGGCCGATGTACCAATAAGGTAATAAAGTTCAAGATACACCGCAATATTGGTCACTTAAAGGCACGTGACCCCCTAAATATGAGTATAAAAAGCATTAAAATTGTGCAATCATAAAAGAAGCTTAGTATTTGACCTTTGTTGTAGACTGGAATCATAGAAATTTTGATTCTTCTGCTCCTAATGAACTGGTAATAATCAATCCTGTCAAAAAAAAATATTTCAAAAATGTAATGCAAACAAATACATAAAAAATCAGATCGTATGACTAATTTAAGAAATATAATAATAAGTTAATGAATGACTAATTGACCTAAATAATTTTCACATATTTCTTAGGCTATACAACCGAGCTTGTGTTAGCATCACGAAGATAAAAAATTCCATTTAGGCTTGCTCGATACAAAGGACAGTCGCCGACCAAGATATCATCAATCCATACTTTCCAACAATCTGGACCAATTGGAAAATGATCTTCTAACGCATTGGGATCCATTGCTGCTATCTCAGCCTTTGCAACAACTACACCTGACCCATTCCAGTGTAACAACTCACATTTTAAACCATGTAGATCTTCTATAATAGGACTTGGCATAGCATTAGACTGAGAACCAGCGCTAGCATTTTGGGACTACAATTAATGAAAACATGGATTAAAAAAACTAGTACATTAAATTCAAATGCCATATAGGCAGAAAATAATACGTATATAAATTGTTGTAACACTTACCAACAAGGCTTTCATCTCATTCATAATCTCATTTCTCATTTCATGTTTGATTTGTTCTACTCTTTGTTCAACTATTTCTTCTACCCTTTTTGTTTGCACCCTTTGAAAACCATTTGCCTCAATTTTAGAGATTGTTGCTCCAAAACCAAGGCCTCTAACTCGGCCTTTACGTTCTGGACCAAGTACACGAGTGACTCCATCATCTCGAAGAGAGCTTGTGCCTTTAGGTTGGGTTTTGGTGTACTCTTTCATTTATTTATGAAATTCCATATTTTAAACATGTTTGTTGTTATGCATTTAAGCATGTTTATAAATGGAAATTTAAAAAATATAAGATAGGTAGGAAATATATATTACCACTGCTTCTTCTGTCGCATCGTTCAAAGCTTTCCCACCCTTCCTCATGTAACCTTCGATCCATACATCAACCCTTGTTATAGAGTTAGGTCCATCACTTTTTTTTCTCTACACAGGAACAATATTTGTGTACAGATAATAGAACATGTTAGTATTGTACAAGTTAGTATAATATTTGTGTAAAATTTGCTAATAAATTTTTTTTCAAATACTTACACGAGTGCTGCAGCGATTACAAGAGAGGCTGTGCTAAAGAGGACAGAAATGTGTGTTCTTAGCTCTATTTGAGCTACATTTGAGAGGTTGTGCTAAAGAGGACTCAAGACCAAAGAATAAGAGAGGTTTACAGAGATTTTAAATGATCATTTGAGCTGAAATTCAACCCTAAATTCAGTATAAAATGAGGGTCTCAAAGATAATCAAAGAGGGCTGAGAGTATAAAATGAGGGTCTCAAATACATATATGAGTGCTGAGGGTCTTTTTTGGAGCTGAGACAAGGGCTGAGCAAGTATAAGTTGGTGATTTACATCTGCAGGAAGCCACAAAAACAACAACTCTAGAGCTGGTATCAATTCTCAGATCTCAAACCTGTTCTATATTTAATTTCTGATGCATTGCAGCTGTATGTGAACTTAAAAGTGATACATCTTTATGTTACATGCATTATTGTTGCTTGATCATGCTTATAATGATGATACAGAGCTGTACAATCTAAGCTACATATCAGAAAAATAACCTTTATAGTTTCAGGCCTAATAAACTTAACAAATTAGGTTTTGTTTAAATTTAATGGCCTGCTGTGAGTGCTGTGACTGTCATACTTGAGTGTAGTTGACATAATTTTCATTTGAGCACCTCTAGTTTGATATTATATGAATAGGAGAATCGAGAATTGAGATGTACCACAGCAAATTTACAATTCTGTCCCTAAGAACATCACTGCTGTAGAAAATAAGTGTAAAGCTTGGTTTGGGTTGTGACATATTACTAACTTGTTAAAAACTGAGTTGTGGTAATTAAAGCATGTGTTATATGATGATTGTAAGCTGTGGAAGCTAGTTTCAATAAGGACCAGCCACAGAATTAGTAAAGTGCCCCTAAAACAGAAAAGGCTAAGACAAGACTGTGGGAATCTATTTTGAGCATCAAGAGAAGCTGCATTGTGGTTTGAAAGTTGTATCCCTATTGGTGTAGAGAATTGAAGCTAAGATTTCCTGTGTTGTATACTTTGAGCTGAAATTTCCACTAATAATGCACAATTAAGCTTCCAAAGCACATGATTAAATACAAAATATCGATACAAAATATGTCTGACACATGTACAAAATCAAACAACAAGATCCATTCATGGGATGAAAGAAGAAAAGAAAGATGGAATAATTAGTTCTACTTACCATTTCATCCTCTAGACGAGCATACCCCTTATGACTTGTTGTGTGAGGCATCTTTTGCTTCTTTCGCAATTCTTGAGATTTTTCTCTCTTTCGCTATAAACAAATAATATAATTACTAATTTCTAAAGAAGAAAGTTATTAGAGTTGTGGTAATTTGATCAATATTTTACTTACTTTGTGGTCATCAGAAAGTCGATTACTCACAAACTGTTGCCACTCATCGATTGATTGTATACTGTCAGGCTTTAATGAATCAATAGCCCCTGTATCTTCATTTGACTTATATATGTTGGTTGTAAGGCGTGTTCTATAATCACCCCAACTCTTTCCCATTCTTCTAAAAGCATCCTTTTTATGAAAATCAGGGACTTCAAATTTTTGCTGCATTTAGTGTAAAAATCAAACAATCAGTAGTTTTTGGGAAAATTTCCTATCATTAATGGCTTAGGTCCAATTATGAATGGTGGTGTGTGCTATTAAATTTGGTCATCACTTTTATTTCAATTATAATTCTAAAACTGAATCTTAGGTCAAATACCTATAATAAAACAAATATATCACATAAAATGCAAGAAAAGAACATACCTTTATAGATGTCCATATGAGTCTTTCTTTCTCAGCTGAAGCCTCTTTCCACTTTTTTGAGCTAATTGGAACATTCTGTCGTGCTATTATTCAAATGCTAGTAGAATTTTTTTTACTATTCTCACCAATTGGTTGCCCTCTTTCATTGAATTCAATCGGAAGTGGTGACTCGTTATCATTTACTACTGCATTTGCTAATATTGATGGACCTCTACCCTTATGAGGACCCTTGTGAGTAGAGGGAGTTATTGAAGCATCATTTGCCGAGGTGCTTCCACTATCATGATCGATTGGAACGCAGCTAGAACCTCTAGATTGTCCACCTAACTGTGTATGGGGAGAGTTTGAATCTCGATCTGATATAGTAATTCCCTCATTTCCCGAAGTCCTTAATGCTGCCACAATACAATTCCTCTCTCTTAGTCCTCTTTTTGCACCAACTTTAGAGGACTTTATATGAGAAAATATGCAAGATAAGAAAATAAGAAAAACCATTAAAATTTAATACGAGGCAACAAAATTATAATTTAAAATCGATATATTAATTACTTACTTCTGCGGGACCACGCATGCTGAAATTTATCTATCTTTTTCCCTCTTCAATTCTTACTCCTTTGCTCTTATAATGAGAATGACCTATTTTTAGAAACAAAAAGTTCCAGGAAAAAAAAAAAAACAAAGTATTTCAAGCCATAGATATTTCAAGCATAACATTACACATCATTTTTCCCCTGCATATTAGTGTATTGGTGATAGAACTCAGGGTCCAGACAATACAAGATGCATAAGAATGTTTAAATATAAAAAATACATATATGTTCTTGCAAATATAGATGATATTAAGGGTGTTTTACACCTTCAGATAGACCCACAAAACATGTGTACAAGTTATTTAAACAAAAGTAAAGCCTATATGGAGTAGTATTTAAAAGATAAAAAGAGTGAGTGAGGTGTAAAGTTATAAGAAGACATGTCATAAAGCACTACAATAGAATGCGAAAAACCTGATTTATGTAACATAAGACAGTAAAAGGCTATTACATAAACAAAGTCCCAAAATAAAATAAAATAAAATGACTTCCAGTAAAATCTTAATACATCTACACGGTCATGCCCTCACAATCCAACCGCACATACTCTTCATTGCCATCATCATCATCATTTGAGTCCAATCTTGATACATCTAATGGCATAGAAGACACATAACTATTTTCTTCAAAAGACTCCAAGTCATTAAAACCTCTTGGCGGCGCTTTAAGTACAGCATACCAATTAGATGTTTCATCTTCCCTTGAATAAAAAACTTGTTTAGCCTGTAAAGCAAGAATAAAGGGATCACTTTGAAACTGACTTTGACCTTCATGAAGGTTAACTAATACAAATCCATCTTCAACTTTGATGCCATTTCTAATGTTTGCCCACTCACAATCAAAGATTGGCACTTTAAATGTGTGGTAATCTAACAAAAGTATATCTTTTAAAACACCATAGTAAGATACTTTTCCTAGAACTTGAGTTGTATCTCTTGCACTAGATTGACATATAGTTTCCGCTTCAAGCGAAACACCACTATCTTGTGTGCTTCCCTCCACATCCTTGGTGTGAAATCGTTGTCCATTAACAATATATCCCGAATGTGAAATGACTTCTCTTCTAGGCCCATTTGCAAGACACATAAGTGTATCGGACACATCATTACCAGCTGCACTAATTTCATTTGCAAACTATAAACAAAAAGTCTCTATATGTTTCTTTTGCAATGCGCTTGCATTCCTTATGAGACGTCTGTCCATCTGCTTAAGCTCCTCCAAATGTTTTCTGTGAGGCAAACACTATTGGTAAGTTTTCATTGTTATTTTTATAACAAATTAATAAGTCCTGAAGATATCATACTTACCCTGTGTACGGTTCCACCTCTGCATTATTGAACAAGACATAACGGTGAGCAATTTGTAACATGCCATTCGACAAATTCCTTTCGAAATTGGACGGCCATCTATTGTTGTCTCACCTTCAAAATCCTCATTTCGAGAATGTCTCACCCCTATTTTAGAAGCTTGTTTGATGTGCTCACTACAAAATTTCACACACTCATTAGCCAAATAGCCTTCAGCTATGCATCCTTCAGGTCTCGCCCTATTTCTAGCATATCCTTTATAAACCTTCATCATCCTAAAACACATAAAAACAAAATAAATTATATATATGTTATAATATTAAATATCTAACTCCATAAAAGAAGAAAAAGTTGATATTAGTACCTCTCAAATGGGTACATCCAACGAAATTGTACTGGTCCACAAATACGAGCTTCGTGTGCGATGTGAATAGTCAAGTGAATCATAATGTCGAAAAAAGATGGAGGAAAAAATCTTTCTAACATACATAATGTCTCAGCAATTTCATTTTCCTGTCTTTCCATTGAGTTCCTATCAATCACCCTTTGGCATACTTCATTAAAATATGTGTATAGGCGAAATATGGCATTCCTTACAGCCTTTGGTAGAATTCCCCGTAACGCTACCGGTAGTAATTGTTGCATTAGGACATGATAATCATGAGATTTCAAGCCTACAACCTTGCATTCATCCAATGATATATGTGTCCCAATGTTGGAACTATAGCCGTCTGGTAGCTTTAATTGTTGTAATCGCTTACAAAAAAGCTGTTTTTCTTCCTTCTTTAGTGTATGAGGTACTGGTGGCAAGAAATGTTTCCCTTTTGAATCTTGTGGGTGCAAATCCCCCCTAATGCCCATTTCCTCCAAATCCCTACGAGACTTGAGTCCATCCTTTGATTTTCCTTTTATGTTCAATAGGGTGCCAATAATACTCTCACAAACATTCTTCTCAATATGCATGACATCTAAGTTATGGCGAACGAGTAATACCTAAAACACAAATAATGGAATAATAGTTTTTTTAAAACATATTATAAACTTAAATAAATAACATTTTATTTTAAAAAAAAAAAAAAACTAAACGACTTTCTATTACAAATACTTACCTCCCAGTATGGCAATTTAAAAAATATGGATTTTTTCTTCCACGCCACATTTTCGTCCTTTTTTGTCTTTTGTTTCCTCTTTCCAATTTTTGGTTTGATATGTAATTTTCCCTTCACTTTTTTACCCCAATCATTTTTAATATTTTTCACAGCATGAAGAATTTCAGTCCCAGACAATATTTTAGGCTTCCACCTATGTTCTTCACTCCCATCAAACCAACTCTTCTTTTTTCGAAATGGGTGAGTAGGAGATAGCCATCGACGGTGACCCAAGTAAACGGTCTTGGTGCTACAATTCAACCGCCTTGAACATGTGTCATCACTACATGTTGGACAAGCTTTTTTACCCTTTGTAACATGACCAGAGAGGTTACTAAAAGCTGGAAAGTCACTAATTGTCCACATCAAGATTACCTTCAAATTAAATGTGGACTTTGCAAATGCATCATAAATTTCCACGCCTTTCTCCCATAGCTCTTTCAAATCATCTATAAGTGGCTCCAAATACACATCTATATCATTTCCCGGTTGCCTCGGCCCTGGGATTAGTAATGTCAACATCATATTCTCTTTAGACATGAGTTCAAGTGGCGAAAGATTATATACCACCAATGTTACTGGCCAACAACTATATGCCGAACTAAGGTCACCAAATGGATTAAACCCATCAGTTGAAAGGCCAAGTCTTAAATTTCGTGAATCTGATGCAAAAGAAGGCCATTTTTTATCTATCGTATGCCATGCAGGCGTGTCAACCGGATGTCGCATCTTTCTATCCCCACTTCTATGAGTTGAATGCCACGTTAGTTGTTTTGCTATTTCAGGGGATCGAAACATTCTTCTAAACCTTGGTACTATTGGAAAGTACCGCAACACCTTAGCTGGGACACCATTTTTAACCTTCCTAGTACGCTCATTCTCTTTCCACCGCGAAGCACCACATTTTGGGCATTTAGTCATGTGCTTATTCTCTTTTCTAAACAGACAACAGTCATTCTTACAAGCATCTATTTTCTCATATCCTAAATCAAATGTCTTCAAAAAAAATTTCGTTTCATAATAGCTCTTAGGAAGTTTGTTATTTTCTGGAAGCATATCCCCAAACATTTGAAGAAGTCCATCAAAACCAGTGTCGGATAAATTAGTTGTTGCTTTGTGCTTGTATAAGGCAACAATTGCAGACATAACTGTATACTTTGTGCATTCTGGAAATAAAGGGGTCTCAGCATATTCTAACTTCTTTTTAAACTCAACCTCTCTTATTTCACAGTTTGGATCCGAAACATCATCACCACCATCAAAGAAAATATCTTTATACATCTGATACGTCTTTGGCATTTCAACGTCACTTACATCACTTCCATGTTGGGGAGATTCACTTAGATTTTCCCCGTGAAAGTACCAGATCGTGTATGATTGATCCATTCCATTTTCCAATAAATGCCTAAACACCATGTCGAAGTGTTGGTGCTTTGCATTTAGACAACAATTACAAGGGCATAAAATCTTTTCTAGATGGCCCGCATTCGCTTGCGCCTGATCAGCAAACCTCCGTGCTCCTTCTAAATACTTTGGATCAACTCTATAAAATTAAAGATTTAACATTTAATTAAACTTAAAATTAGTGTAGACAATATTAACTTTTATAAGCACACTCCACTACAAATAATAACCTGTAAGTCATGTGCATCCATTCTTTATCCATCACTATTTGCTTAATTATTTTGTCTACTAACCTATCACAAAAGATAAAAAAAAATTGTCAAAATTCTAGCAAGAAGAATATCTAACTATATTCATGATAATGTGAATAAAGGCAAAAAATGGTTTGTTCAAAGAGTAAGTGTGACAACCTTAAATTTAATTAAGTCTTCCCTATGTTTAGGACCAGAATTACATGATTTTTGATTAAATTTCTTTCTACCTATTTCATGTGTTGCATTTCAATATTAGTACATCCCTAATTGCTTGGAATTTATTTAAATGCATTGGTTGTGCATGGTTCGTTGGCAATTTATAATTCCTTAATTGTCTAGTATATAATTTTTTGATCTAGTATTTAATTTATAGTCATAAGTTTCATTTAATTTTTCTATTTTACTCATGGGATGAATGTAGTTGTTAACAAATAATAATAATAATAAAGAAATAAAGAAATAAATAAAATGGGTAGAGCCATTGAGTGATTACTTTTGGAAATGAGGGAATATTGAGATATTAATAGAATGTGGTTTAGTGGGTTTGCATGTGGCAGCATGTAGGGGATCTAGACCTAGGTGTCATTCATATGCAAAACTTGGAGACACGTTTAATTATTTAGCACTACACTTGTAACTAGTTCCCTCATAGTTGTTGATCCCAAGCCTAAAAGAAAACTTCTAGCCGTGGGTTGTTTGACAGAGAGAAAGAAGAACAGAAAGTGAAGAAAAAGAAGAAGGGTTCAGACTAAGGCTAAAAATGTAGGCATTTTACCCACACACCATCTAATCTCACCACCTCCAGTTGTTAACTTCAATTGGGTAGGGATTCTCTTTAACTCTTGCAGCCTTGAGAGTTATTTTTTTAAAGTTCTGTTTCGCAATTTAATGTTCCATGAAATTATAGTTTTTCTTGTTACAAGTACATGATTTTCTTGTAGTCAAATGCTTGATTTTAGCTAAGATATTATACATATGCTTGGTCATGATCTGAGTTTTGGTTACATACAAGTATTGCTTATGATTTTATTTCAGAACTCTACATGGTTAAATTGTTTTCCAATCAGAACTTAGCATGTTGGTAGACTGATGTATATTATCAATTTTACGCCAAAATAATTCTGCTTAATCAGATCATGTACCTAAAAGTTAAAACCTCATGGAGGCATTTGTTAAAGGCTTTCCTACTGGGCATTGTCTCACCCTTGTTATTTTTCAGGTCTTGGTGCTCAGGACGACAATGCTAGACCCGAGCTTGAGTTCCCATAGATGGGATCCTTTTGTGGTGCATCTTCTGCTTGGTGTTTTTGTGTAAAATATTAGCCTGAAGTACTATTTTGTTCATGTTTGATGCCTTATGAAACAATGTTAAGGTCGTTGTTGTTGTGCTATAGTAAAGATGACAATATGCTCTCTACTATGTGTTCTTTAGGACAGGGTACTGTATCTAGATGTTTTGTGTATAGCCTGCTAATGGTAGCATATGTACTTAGTGACTGGGCATCAGAGCTGTGACTCTTTATTTTGGGTGTACAAATTTGGACTGAAATTATCTTTCTATGGATGACTTTATGCAATATATATATTCTTAGCCTCTTTAGATCTTTGTTATGCCTATGTATTATATAAGTTGTTCATGGGGGTAAGCTCTGAATTTTCTGTTAGAGGATTTTATTTAAAGAAAAAAAAAAATCTGTTTTAAATTTCCTCTAGTACTTTCTTGGAAACGAATTTTAATCAGAGGTTGTAGTGCTTCAAATTCTGTGAAATTTTTACCATATGTTTCCCTTTGTGTATAAAGTCTCTCAAAAATTTTTTATAATTTTTCGATTGGTGAATATTTTTTAAAAAATCTTATATCATCTGCTGTTTCGTTTCTGGTCACAGTTTGGAAACTGAATTTGAGAAAAGAATTTGACGGCCTTCCCGAAATCAATAAATTATGAAAGTTTCCAGTTTTCTTATTTCAAGTGTCTAGTTTCTAAAGGTTAAGGCCCCAAAATTTTATTGGCTCTCTAAAAGACTAAGCAGGCCAAAGTTTTACACTTGGTTCCATTTCAGCACAAGCTGTGAGAGCTTTCTTCCTTCTAAAAACTGTTTTCCTTGGTGTTTTTCTAGCATCCGGGAGTGACTCGGTCACATTGTCATCTGAGTCTAGTTTCTAAAAAAATTTAGTTTGTTTCATTTCGATAATAATTGAATTTTCTATGTTTTTTTGAGGAACCGCTGCGCAGAATTTTCTTAAGTTGAAAACTGCTGTTCCATTTTTTTTTGTTTTAACCTTATTATCACGCCCTATGGTTTTGGGGTGTGACAGTAAGTTGGTAATGAAATAACTCTCACTACACTCTGAGCATATTTTAGTTTATTGATTTTGGTCCTTAATTATCTTGTTTTATTTTACTTTGGTATGGTGTTGGTGGATGAGATCTTGTGTTGTAGATGTGTGGCAGAGTTTGGGTATTTTGCCTTCTTTTTAGATATTATTTTTCGTGTATACATATATGTGTGTATGAAAGTGTAGATGTGTGGGTTGTTCTAGGTGTTATTTTCACAAATTATTTTGATATGGTGTAGATGTATGAGATTTGATTTGAAGCTAACTTATTCAAGTTGTTGAAGCTGTCAGACATGAGTTTTTGAAACGAAGATCTCCATAAAAGAACCTTAATCCTTGCTCTAATTTGAAGCAAAGTTTGACAATTCATTGAGGGAGGCATCGAAGATTGCTTGTATTTGTTCGTTCTATGAAGAAACTAGGGTTCCTATTTTGAATCCACAATTTCTTCGAATTTCAGATGGCTATACACATCAATTTGGAGCAAAAAAATCAAGGTTCGTCAATCTCTTTCTGTATATGTATCTATTAGTTTTGATTTTTTGATTAAGAGTGTTTTATATAATTTTAATTTAAGTCAATTCCTATTCAAATATGACCCTCATTGTCCGTAAGTTAGAAATGCTATCTATCTTAACAAAATTAGGACATTTTTCTTAATAGTTTCCCATGCTATCATGTAAATTGAAAAGAGCAACGAGAGAAAAGAACACAAAGAATGATTACTATACTTTGAATTGCATCTTATGGGATAAAAGGCGTAGCGTGGAAGAGCATACCTTTAGAAGAGCACGAGTCCCTTCTTCTCTAATGATAGTCCTAACACAATCAAATATACCTTTGTACTGGTTTGCTGACCCCTGCAAAGGTTGAAAAGATGAAATGAAGAAAGAATTTGCATTACTCCCCTTCTATGAAAAAGATTAAGACAGAAAGAAAAGTAAGAAAAAAGATCCATTATCTGTACCTGAACCATTAATCTAGTTTTTATGACATCAAGAGGAGTTGTTATAGCTCCAGTGATTGCACCTGAAAATATACAAGATTTGATTTTAAGAGATCCTCAACAAGTAGGGCATTAAATTGAAGCACGTTTTACATTAGTAAGAGTCAGTAACAAACTTGGTTGTCAAAGCTACGATTTGAATCAGAGGATCATACGTTCCTACCTATTTGATTTTTATTTAGTTTTTCTCTCTTCTTAAAATTTGTTGGGCCTTCAGCTTATTGGTCTCATCCATGTGACATGTCTATATTATGGACAAATATTTGATGACAATATAATAGGGCAAGCAGCCAGTTGATGAATGGTGAAACGATTACATAGTAAAGAGGTAGCCTGCTACTAGCCACAATTTACAAATGTGAATTATTAAATCAATGTTAAAATTCAAGGAATTATGTAAAGGTGTGATTGGCTCTAGTCTAAAGGGTGCTAATAAATTGGATGATTACCATGAATGTCCTTTGCAGAATCACTCTTGTCGATCAAAATTATCCATGGTTTATGAGAAATATGTGCGCTATACATGATAGATATATTCACACAGCTTCCAGAAATAAGTAAAAGTTTATACAAGTATCAATAAGTGATTAAATATGTACACACCCCTTCTGCTTCCTTTAGCCATGGTGAAATGTAATTAATATCAATCATGTGGACCAATAAAAGCTCAATCAATGAAAATCCTATCCATCGAATTAAATGCCACAATACTATATATTGTATAGTCAAGGTTGGGGTATAGCAGCGTACAGAGTACAATAAATGGATACATCACAAAATCTATCATGGCAGTAAATTTTTTCTTCAACCTAACAAATCCTGTGACCAACTGATAAAAATATTTTTATCTATTCAAGCCATTTGTTGATGATTTTTTAAAACTAATTTGCCACATTTTTAAAAACTTTTAAGACAAAAATTGTGGATTTGATAACACCTAAAAATGGGAAGCTGTGGGTATACTTGTTCGGCTATTTTAGGTATAAGGCCCACACCTCACAAGCCTTGGCTATCTCGAAATCATCATAAAGTTCCTCATCAACGTGTTTACGATCAACAAGACCAATCATAGAATTAAACTTGCTTCTTCCAATTTCTTCACTAAAGCATCAAAGAATTGAAAATAGTAAAACTAAAGTATTAAATGACATGCTTGATTATCTCATATGTTAAAGCTTGCCTACCTAAGTCATGCTGATATCCATAGTAGGAATATGCACAAATGAAAAGCACTTACATTGTTACTTCTACTACAGGAAGCTCAGATATGGATTCTACTGAATCAAGAGCATTTTCAACAAGTTCTCTCATAGTATTGTAGAGGGATTTCCCTGGCTGAAAGCAAAATAAAATGCAGAAATTGACGATTGAAGGAAAAAGAACAGCTACGAACTTGTCCTAACAGATTTCTATACAGATATCCGGAATTTGACTTTGCCCCTAATTCACTGAATTTAACAACCAACTTCAGACAATTTAAATTTGCAAATTCTCTTAGTAGGCGAATATTTATCTAGTTTTCACCCACATAGAGAAATAAAAGGAAAATTTCTAACTCCCCCAACCCCCCCCCCCCCCCCCCCCCCCCAAAAAAAAAAAAAAAAAAAGAATTTCAGAAATTTACAACAAAAAAGTTTTTCCAATCAAATTAATTCAATCGAGGCACTGGACTAGATATAAATTCGCCAATTACTCTCCTAATACTAACACCATGCTTCCATCATCACATATGAGAGATTATATATTTAATGCAACAAATAGTGCATATCAAAATTATTCAGCCACAACCTAATACAAGTACTGAAAAAAAAAAAAAAAAAATACCCTTCACAAAAAATCCCAAAAAATAGCCTCAAAACCATTAAAATTCTAACCCACAGAAATTATACAGGAGGCTAAGAAACTCACATTATCAAACCCAGCAATGTTCTTGCTCTCAGTAAAAAACTCAGCTGGTGATTCTGCAGAAAAACAAATAAATCACCCGAACCCAAATTAACACATAGAAATCTCAAGCAATACCTATATATACAAATAAATAAATAATGCAAAATTGTAGATGTAAATAATTATTTATATACAGAGAGAGAGAGAGTGAGTCAGAGAGAGACAGACTAACTCTATTTAAGAAGAAAAACAAATGAATCACCCAAACCCAAATTAACACATAGAAATCTCAAGCAATATCGATATATACAAATAAATAAATAATGCAAAATTGTAGATGTAAATAATTATTTATATACAGAGAGAGAGAGAGTGAGTGAGAGAGAGACAGACTAACTCTATTAAGAACTCTTTCCTTGGGTTTTTTAGGGCTCTTCGATTTGCCTTTCTTTGCTTCGATTGGACTTTCACTGCTCCAATAGAGAGGCAAACCAGAGGGACATCATCATCTGCATCTTTTTCGTCTAAAGAGAGAGAGCACAGAGGGAAAATTAGGGCTAGCTTCAACGTGATAAAAGGGGAGTAGAGAGAGAAAAGGGATATATAAGGTATTGACAAAAACTACGTCGTTTTTGTCAAATTTTTAATTATGTTTTTTATTAAAAAAAATTCATTGATTTTGCTATTTGGCGCTAAGTTTCCCGCTAGCGGGGAAAATTTTATTTGGAAAATGTTGCCTATCTACGGGGCAAAAAAGATGCCTTAAATGTGAAATTTATTCACGGCGTCTTTATTACACCGTAAAAGAACTTAATTTTGTTTAATAATATTTTTTAATTAAAAAAATAATTTATCTGGCGCTAAGTTTCCAGCGAGGGGAAGGCTAAAAATAGTATTGCTTATCTACGGGACAAAAAATACGCCTTAAATGTGAAATCTATTCACGGCGTCTATAATACACCGTAAAAGAACTTAAGTTTGTTTTTTTAATTCTTTTCTGTATATATTTTTAAAGTAATTTTAGTAATTTAAGTACTATTGCTTATTTACGGGGAAAAAAAAGGCCTTAAATGTAATATTTATCAACGAGCAACATTTATCCCGTGAAAAGTGTACAAATATGCCGTAAATATATCTAAATATTCACGACCTGTTTAATACACCGTAAAAAACATTTTCTACGGAGATTCTACTAAATCCTCGTGAAAACATGTAACAATTACGAGGATTCTTTTAAAAACTCCGTAAATGGTGGTAATCACAAGGCAAAATAAAGAAGCTCCGTAAATACTATGTCGTAAAAGCCCAAATTTCTTGTAGTGTGTGAAAACAAATAATTAGATTGTTTAAGATCTTAACACAAAAATGTTTGTGAGAGAATTAATGTTTTGGTTTTTTGAGTCTCCTTTCTCAACATGTTCAATTTCAATATCAACAATGTGACGATGTGCCATTCAAACCTTCACATGAGGCTTTCAGTGATGACAATGAGCTTGATGGTGATAGCACAGGCGCAATGGCTCTCTAGAAATTTCAAGCAATATATGGAGTATATATATATAGATGTGTCCTATATACCTTAGATATATATACATATTTCATTTTTCTTGGGGAAGATAATCATACTTGATGTGGATATTTGCTTAAAATAGTTTGAAAATAGTGGTTGAGAAGCCAACCAGACACCACCTACGCTGCTAGAACTATTTTTGGTTAAATCATAGGAAGAAATGACTCCGATTAATTCAAATATTTTTTTGTTTAGTTTTGGTAATTAAAAGGGCAAAATAGCCCTAGCCACCAAAATAACCAATGGGGATACACTCCAAGGCCCAAATAGGGTATAAGGGTCATCAGGCCCAAATGCCTTGTGGATAATAAACTGGACCGGCCCAAAAGGAAGATATCGCCCATCAGCTTAGGAATTTGTATGTCATATTTCCCAAAGTAGGGTAAAGGGTATGTGTACAAAAAAAGAGAGAAAGAAAGAGCTGTAAGAAAATTTTTCCATTAATAGAAAGGAAAATTCTTGCATCTACAGCTAGCGCTGCCTGTGGGAAACAAGAGGAAGATCCATTAATTTCCACACTGAACTATGACTTAGCTCTGATAGGGAACCATGATCGGAAAAGGAAACTCACATTAACAGAATGAGAATGCGCGAACCAAGCATGAAGAGATGATGCAAATCATCGAAACCCTGCAACGAGAGAACGCTGAGCTTCGATCAAGGATGGAGTGAAAGGACGTGCCACCACTCCCTCGTCTGCCAGCGGAGGTTGAGAGGGTGGAGGTAGAAGATGTCAACTACAAGGTGGACCAGACGGGATCTGTCCATGTAGATCTGCGGCACGGGAAAACAGGACTAAAAGAAGAAATGGAACGCGTAGAAGCTCACCTTCCAGGAGCAAGAGTCGACTGCAGACCACATGTTTGACGAAATGTACCAATTAGATCTGAGCAGTCACGCTCAGAGGGCCACCGGGAAAAAATGGTGGGATCTAAAGGCTTCCTCAATGATTAACGAAGTCGTTCTGACATCATCCCAGACGATTAGGTCAACATTTACAGAAGAGATCCTCCAGTCCCCGAAGCCAAAGAAGTTCACCATGCCAACGTTCACACTGTTTGACAGAACTAAAGATCCTACCGAGCATGTATACTATGTCCAAGTAAAAATGGTCTTGGACACCAAGGATGATGCCCTAATGTGTAAGTTCTTCCCAATAAGCCTTATTGAACTAGCATTTAGTTGGTTCAAGCACCTGCCAAATGGGATAGTAGGAAGTTTCCAAAGGCTTTGTGACTTGTTCATAGGCCAATACTATGGCAATCAGCAGATCGAGAAGGACATATCCTGTCTATTCACTATGCGGCAATAGGAGGGCGAACGACTCTAGGCTTTCTTCAACAGATTTAACCTAGAAATTAGCATAGTGGTCTATTGTCATCCATCTTCAGCAGTCCAAGTATTCAAGCTAGCAATGATTAGAGGAACTCAGTTTCACATATCTTTAGTGAAGAAATCAACAAAGATGATGGATGCACTAAATTCAAGGGCGCAAGGCTACATAAAATTAAAGGAGGAGGAAGTGGTCAATATGAGAAAGACTACGATGGTCACGGTGGAAATTAGGTCTAAGGCCAAGATGACCATCCGCAAAGAATCGATCACTCAACCACGAGTAGTCCCTTAGAAGGCTGAGAAGAGGCAGCGGGAGGACGAGACGATCACCCCTCTTAGGGTAACTTTGTCAAAACTATACCAGGAGAATAAGGGAAAGTTTCAATATCACAATAGATCAACACTTAAACAAAGGGATCATTCGAAGCATTGTACGTTTCACAATGACTTTCTGCACCAGATGAATGAGTGTAGGAACTTAAGAAAATGGGTAAAAACACTAATTGCGAAGGGCAAGTTGGCCAACTATGTATAAACCAAGGAGAAAGTATGCTCAACTAAGTAGGCAAAGGGTAATCCGAGGACACATCCTCTAAAGGGACAGTCTATTCAAATTATTAATGCAATTCATGGCTGACCAAAAAAGGATGATGAGACGAAAGAGCTCTACTAAACGCGCCTCAGGCAGGCTCACAAGATGAGAAGGCTTGGAAGCATCAATATGGTCTGCCATTAGGGTAACATTAATTGATTTGATCAGGTTTGATAAAATTAACCTTCTCAAGGTTCAAACCCCATATGAAGAACCATCGGTAATTAGCTTAATGGTAGCAAACTGCCTATTCAAGAGAGTCATGATAGACCCAGGAAGTAGTGCCAATATCATAACAAAGGTGGCATTCAAGCAACTGATGGTTGATCCAAAATAGGTAAATCCAACAGGAAACCTATTGGTGGGGTTTGATGGGAAGCAAGTAAAGCTTATCAGCGTTATCGAACTCCCGGTCTGTGCAGCATGAAAAACTTAAAGGAAAATTTTGTTATTGTTGATGTACAACCATCTTACAATATGTTAATGGGGAGGGGATGGATCCACCGCATGCAAGGTATCCTGTCCACTCTCCACCAGGTCATGAGGTGTCTAAGCCTAGAAGGAAATGAAGTTATCGACATTTGGTGAGACCAAATAGCTGCTAAGGAGTGTTATGCAGTGTCAATAAAATTTAACGAGAAGGGCAAAGCGATCGCTAGACTAGAGGGTCATAAATAGCAATTACAGAGCCCTCTGCCCAACCAAGTAAGGAACAAGATTGAGGCAGAGGAGCCAGTCCTTATAGAAGAATCATTAGAAATGGTACAGATAGACCCCCAGATGCTAGAAAGAACAACGAAGATAGGATCGATGCAAACTGATGAAGAGAAGAAGGAATTAACCAAAGTACTAACCAGAAACCTCAACGTGTTTGCCTGGAGCAACCTAGACAGGCCATGGGTTAGCCCCAACCTTTCATGTCATACCTTAAATGTGGACAAAAACTTCAGACCCCT